CTTAGGTCTTTTTTTAGAATGCCCCTATGGTCTTACATTTAAAATGCCCCAACGGACTTGTTTGTAGCAATTCTCCTCTTTTTTGAAGAAAAGCTACTTTTTGGGTTTTCTGAGTTTCTTACCACTGGTGGGGGATAACTCAAACCAATTTTATTTTAGGTCGTCGATTTTTTATTTTTCGAAGGACCAATGTTCGCGGAGAAATAAAAACACACAACCGCCCGGTTATAATGTATTTTCAAATCTGATTTTATTAAAGAATATTTCTTACTTAAGTGCTACCTAAACTATTCTGACTTAACCTAATCGCAGACACACAATCTTTCTTATCTATTCTTGTGTCCCAACACGTAAGTGCGTGCATAGACAAATGAAAATATAGACAACGAAATGCTCTCACAGTTTATCTTCGAAAAAATCGAATCAGCAGATGTCGTCTATATCGTTTCAGGGGTTTGAGTGGGAATATTGAAGTCACTCAATTCTAAAACGTTAAAAATAACAAAAACTGTAGGATATTTGTCAGTTGGAAATTGTTCCATAATAAAAGAAATGTGAAAAGTACGTGATGACATCAGAAAATTCCGGAATAATAAAGAGAAATTCTTAAAAAACAATAAAATGTGTTTTCGAAGTCGAGTGGGTTGAGCGCGTAAATCAGCATGTTGACTATGCAAAACATGATGAGAGCCACCTGGATAAAAAGACAAAACTAACTTTTCGTTGTCTATATCTTAATTTGTCTAGGGTGCGTGCTACCTACTGAGCGCATCTCTATCTGTATGTGTGGACTTTATTGATCCTTTATTATCAGCATAGACAAATGAAAATATTGACAACGAAATGCTCTCACCATTTATCTTCGAAAAAATCGGATCAGCAGATGTCGTCCATATCGTTTCAGGGGTTTGAGTGGGAATTTTGTAGTCACTCAATTCAAAAATGTTAAAAATAACAAAAATTTGGGGTTTTTGTCAGTTGAAAATTATTTCATAATAAAAGAAATGTGAAAAGTACGTGATGACATCGAAAAATATGGGAATATTCCAGTGAAATTCTTGAAAAACGATGAAATGTGTTTTCGAAGTCGAGTGGCTTGAACGCGTAAATCTTGATGAGAGCCACCTGGAAAAAAAGACAAAACTAACTTCATAGACAAATGAAAATATAGACAACGAAATGCTCTCACCATTTATCTTCGAAAAAATCGGATCAGCAGATGTCGTCCATATCGTTTCAGGGGTTTGAGTGGGAATTTTGTAGTCACTCAATTCAAAAATGTTAAAAATAACAACAACTGTAGGATATTTGTCAGTTGAAAATTATTTCATAATAAAAGAAATGTGAAAAGTACGTGATGACATCGAAAAATATGGGAATATTCCAGTGAAATTCTTGAAAAACGATAAAATGTGTTTTCGAAGTCGAGTGGCTTGAACGCGTAAATCAGCATGTTGACTATGCAAAACATGATGAGAGCCACCTGGAAAAAAAGACAAAACTAACTTTTCGTTGTCTATTTCTTCATTTGTCTATGCTAACTTTTCGTTGTCTATTTCTTCATTTGTCTATGGTGAGCATAGCAAATGTAGATAAAGACAACGAAATGCTCTCACCGTTTATCTTAGAAATATATTTTATACTATTCACAGAATAATTTTTCTCAGTAAGATTTTGTAATTCCTCAGCAGTAAAAATTTGGTTTTTTATTTATTGGGTCTTAATTGTTGTTCTATAAAAATGTGGAATGGAAACTGTCACAATGTAAAGAAATCATGATACAATAAGGAGGTGGAACAGCTTCGTGAAACTACTGAAATACAGTCCTGAGGCTATGCCCGCTTTCTGCCAGAATTATTCAAAATTATAGGCAAAAATTTGTTTTCATTTATTTGATATTTTTGGTTCATTTTTAAAATGAGTGAAATAGCGCGAAAGAATTATTCAAAATTATAGGCAAAGAAATGTGAAAAGTACGTGATGACATCGAAAAATATGGGAATATTCCAGTGAAATTCTTGAAAAACGATAAAATGTGTTTTCGAAGTCGAGTGGCTTGAACGCGTAAATCAGCATGTTGACTATGCAAAACATGATGAGAGCCACCTGGAAAAAAAGACAAAACTAACTTTTCGTTGTCTATTTCTTCATTTGTCTATGCTAACTTTTCGTTGTCTATTTCTTCATTTGTCTATGGTGAGCATAGCAAATGTAGATAAAGACAACGAAATGCTCTCACCGTTTATCTTAGAAATATATTTTATACTATTCACAGAATAATTTTTCTCAGTAAGATTTTGTAATTCCTCAGCAGTAAAAATTTGGTTTTTTATTTATTGGGTCTTAATTGTTGTTCTATAAAAATGTGGAATGGAAACTGTCACAATGTAAAGAAATCATGATACAATAAGGAGGTGGAACAGCTTCGTGAAACTACTGAAATACAGTCCTGAGGCTATGCCCGCTTTCTGCCAGAATTATTCAAAATTATAGGCAAAAATTTGTTTTCATTTATTTGATATTTTTGGTTCATTTTTAAAATGAGTGAAATAGCGCGAAAGAATTATTCAAAATTATAGGCAAAAATTTGTTTTCATTTACTCGATATTTTTGGTTCATTTTTAAAATGAGTGAAATAGCGCGAAAGATGAATGAAATGCCTGGATGTTATCTCAATTCCATGACAAATCTGGTTAATATTATTAATGCTTTGAAGATATTAACCATTTTAGCTTTGGATCATATTTTTGAAATAAAATCCTGTTACTTCATTCATCTTTCGATTTATTTAAGTCATTTAAAAATGAGGAAAAATGTGAAATAAATGAAAACAACTTGTTGCATATAATTTTGAATAATTCTGACAGGAAGCGGGCATAGCCTCAGAGCTGCATTTCTATAGTTCCACAAGGCTGTTCTACCTCCTTATTGTACCATGGCTCTTCCTAACCTTTTTATTGTATCATGAAGGAATTTTTGTAAAGGAAATAGGGTATTTTTCATTTATCGAAAAAGATTTTGTTATAACTTGCACAAATAATTATAATTTATTGAGTTAACGTACCCAAGTAATATAAAAGAAGCCAATGAACGAAATGTTGTGAAAGCAAATTGGTTTGTATAAATTTAAGTATACAGGCCTAATGTAAATCAATACTAAGGATATGAAAGAAAAACTAAAAAAAATACATGTGAAGGGCGGTGGGAAATTATGAAAAATTTGAACGCCCACACAAACAATTTTTAATTTAATTTTTTTTCTGCCTAAATTTAATTTAAATAATATTTAAATAAAGTTAAATAATAGTTTCGAAACTCTTGAACATTTGTACAGGGTTCCACATCGCTTTCTTTTCCTTGATGGAATTTTCTTAACTTGGACATGAGTAACAAGTGACATATATGATGGTTGGATATGATCATTGGAAATATGTAAATATATTTAAGTATATTGGATCTATAATGCAAAGATAAAAACTTGTATTATTGTTTACAATACTGTTTACAGTAAGACTGTAAATAGTTTTACAAGTTTTCTAACTTAAAATTACATTCAAATCATAATAACTGATTTTAAAGTAAAAGTAATTGTCATGTATGCTTGTTGAGGGTTTAGTGGTCCTTTGTAACTAAAAGAATTGTTGTAAACAACTTTAAGCTATGCTAATTTAAACCCTTTTATAAAAGTCAATAAAGAAAAATAGTCAAGCAATAAGAAGCTACATATTTATTGAAAAAAGTACGTATCAAAATATTTACTTTTTTTCGATAAAAACCGTCTTCGATTGAATTAAATAAACAATTACAATTTTGTTGTGTACACTCCCACTGTCTACAAAGTATTGCTAGAAACACAATTGGAGCGAACGACGAATTTTTTCGCGGCGTATGTTCGTCGTCAAAAATAAAAAACATATGTGTATACGGAAGTGCACACAATCACGGCGAAAATTTCGTCGGTCGCCGCGAACTCAATTAGCTTTATTTCTATTTCATACGCCGGCGAACGGCGACAAAACAGTACAAGGTGGCCATACTTGTACGAATTTTATGTGTTTTAGTAAATAAAGTTACTTTTTACTTTAGAATTTGTTATGGTCACTCTACTATCTGTTATTCGTATAAAAAACATAAATAATTTGTTTATTTATTTGTGCACTTGCGCCTGAGTGAAGATGGATATCAGTGAATTTATAATAGAGAAGATGGACATAACTGAAATAATAAAGAATTATGAGTTCTTGTATAATTTTCATTGTAGTCAACAAATGAGCAAAAAGTAAACAACTTGATCAGCTGTTTTATAATTTCATCGGTATTGTGTTCCATACGACGAATTTTCGTGGCTCATTTTGTCGCCGCGTAGGGCGAAATTCGTCGTTCGCTCCAATTGTGTTCCTAGCATATGTTGTTCAGCAGATGAACATATACGGTTTTTTATGAGTATTATACAAACATTTCGTAATGTTTAATTTATTTATTTATATGTTGCAATGAAAAAACCATTTGTCCAGTATCACAACTAGAAAATAAAAACTACTAATAAAAAATATTTTAAAATTATTATATATTGTTGTGTAAATTCGCGACCATTTGTGCAGAGTAAATAAAATTATTCAGTTTTTTTATATATTTACGATAATTGTAAAACTAATACTGTATTAAGCATCCAAACCATATTACTTGTACCCATTGGTCGAACTTGAATGATAAAATAAACTCGTCAGAAGGATTGATAAAATTTATAAAGCTCACATTCCAAGTTAAAAGTCGATACGATCCTTCTTTTGTAACAAAGACGATTATTAACATTACAATAACAAATGAAACTCGTTATCACTGTAGTAAGAATATGAATGTTGGTTGTTTGGGACACATAAGTACATATTGTTAAGCCGGAAACTCGTGTTGTGGTAGCTCAGAGCTAGCGTCTTAGCTTGAGGACCAGAAAACTCGAGTTCTGTTATATATCCCGGTCTGCTAGTAAAACAACTGTTGCCTTCAGGTAACTCATAACAACTGAGTGATGGTGTTTATTACATATGCTTACATCGATAGTAGTTTAGTAGTTACTGAATACGTAACGTATACAACACCTCTCCCCTCTCTTATAACAAAAATAATAAAATGAATTCAATAAAATACTATTAGCTAAAACTCCGAACACTAATACCTTTCAATCCGTATCGATAACATAATCATTTAGTCGATGAGGTCGCCGTATATTCCTCCTAGGATTCGTTCTTATGTTGACTGCCTCGCCATTCCCTGCTGGCTCTTCAAATCCGATGAATGCTGACCCCGGAGAACTTGGGGGCGTTGCGAAGGACTGATCTCGATTGTCTGACATCACGCATTCGTCTGTTGCTTCTCGTTCCGCATTACTCATACTTGTAGGGTTCTCTCTCTTCTCCAAAGTCAAATCTGATGGCTCATAACTAGCACTATGTGTTTCCTCAACTTCGTTATCCAGCATTACTCTGCCATTAATCTTTCTCAATTGATCAATGTGTCTGTTCCAACACCTACCATCTTCCAGCCTCACTTTGTAATGCAAATCACCAATTCTCTCTCTTACTATTCCAGGCTTCCACTTAAGCTTATCCATATAATCCCGAGCCATTACAGCGTCTCCTACTGCTAACTCTAACTCGCCCAAACATTGTCATAGCTGGTGATTTATTCGTGACCGGGTGAATTGCTCGTCGATATGCCAATAAAATTTGATCAATTTTTCGCTGTAACTCCTCCTTACGAGGCATTGCCTTCAACTTGGTCTTGAAAGTTTGTATAAAACGTTCTGCTTGACCATTCGTTGCAGGGTGGTACGGTGCCCCCAACTTATGCATGATACCATTTTGTTTTAAAAACTCTTGAAATTTCGCGCTTTTGAACTGCGTCCCGTGGTCGCTGACTAGAATGTTTGGTATTCCAAATTGCGCAAATATACTTCTACATACTTCGATTGTTGTCTCCGTGGTAATGTCTCGAACTATCCTTACCTCCGGCCATTTACTAAAAGCATCCACCAGTACAAAAAAATATTTGCCCAAAAAGGGACCAGCGTAATCCACATGCACCCTTTCGAAAACTTTCTTCGGAGGTAACCAGCAATGAACCGGTTCTTTCTTTACATCTGGTCGCCCGATCTGGCATTCATAACAGTCAGCAACCGCTTTTTCAATGTCCTTATCTAAATTTTTCCACCAACAATACGCTCTGGCAAGTGACTTCATTTTTGATACACCAAAATGTCCCGAATGTAATTCTTGTATTATTCTAGTTCTCAGCGGTTTTGGCACATACACTCTTATGCCTCTTAATAAGCATCCTTGTTGCAAGCTAAATTCGGATGGGTCGATTCCAAAACTGTCGGCAGGATCACACTTCCGGCCATATGACAAACTGTCTACTAAACGTCTTACTTCCGCATCTTTTTTTGTGGCTTGTCCTAATTCCTTGACGGTGATTGGCAAATTCTCAATTAATTCCATTTCAATTTGATCAATCTCGCTGATTGTTTTGCTGCATTCATTTACAGGAAGCCTCGATAGCGCATCTGCATTCCCATTCTCCTTAGATTTACGCAAACGAATCTTGTAATCAAAAGATTCCAGGAATACTGCGTAATGTTGCATACGCGTTGCAGACAATACCGGTAATCCCTTGTCAGGCGCAAAAATCTGTGATATTGCTTTATTGTCGGTAATTAAAGTAAATTCCCTTCCATATACATATTGGAAAAACTTTTTTACCCCGAATATTACTGCGTATGCCTCCTTGTCTACTTGGCTATACCGTCTCTGTGTTGCATTTAAAGTTTGCGATGCAAACTGTATAGGTCTTTCCGTTCCATCGCCAAATTCGTGACTCAATACGGCTCCCACACCCGTAGGGCTCGCATCCACTGCCAATGTTAATTTTTTTCTTGGATCATAATGTGTCAGCACCACCTCTGATCCCACTTGTCTCTTTACTTCTTCGAAAGCCCATTTACATTTAGCATCAAAATTAAATGGAACTTCTTTGTGCAGTAATCGATTTAGAGGGTAAACTATAGAGCTCAAATTTTTTATAAAACGACCATAATAATTCACTAGTCCCAAAAATGATCGAACTTCGTCCTTGGTTGCCGGATATCTCATTTCTTGAATAGCCTTAATCTTGGCTGGTATCTTACGAATTCCTTGTCGATCAATCACATAACCACAATACTCAATACTCTCTCGCAGAAATTCCGACTTAGCAAGATTTATTCGCATATTATATCGGTCTAATCTTTTTAACACCTCTTCTAACCGGTCTAAGTGTGTCCTCTCATCCTTGGCTGTTATTTTAATGTCATCCAGGAACACCTTAACACCCGGTATATCCGCTAATAACTGCTCCATTAATCTTTGCCACTGAGACGGGGCGCTAGCAACGCCAAACATTAATCTTGTTGGTTGAAATAATCCTTTGTGTGTGCTCAGGGTTAAGAACTTTTGGTCATCTGGATGTACTTCTAACTGCAGATATGCCTTGGACAAGTCAATCTTCGAATATTTTTCACCGCCTGCCATTGTACTAAACAATTCGTCGACTGTAGGCAATGGGTGCTTGTCCACCACTAAGACCGGATTGATCGTTATCTTGTAGTCTCCACAAATTCGTATCTTGTCATCTTTCTTTCTGACCACCACGATTGGTGTAGCCCACTCGCTACGTTCCACTTTTTCCAATAATCCAGCTTTTACTTGGTCATCTAATTCATCTTCCACTCTCTGCAACAGTGGAAAAGGTACTCGTCGCGCCTTCATACATTTCGGGACAGCATCGGTTTTAATATTCAAACGCGCCTGAAACCCCCTAATTTTGCCCACTGACTTCGAAAATAAATTTGGATATTTCTCCAAGATACTCCTTAACTGACCTTCCAAATTCGCCGACTCCTGAATTTTGTTTACGCTTACCGATGACACACTCTTTCCTTTTAACATCTTCAGCCAGTCCAATTTAACTAACCGCAGCCACTCTCTTCCCAGCAATGGTTTCCGATTGGCCCGTACTAAATACATTTTGACTTTTGTTATGTCTTTGGCTCTTACTTTCACCCATATGTATCCCGCGCAATCTATAGGCGTCTTGCAATAACTATAGAGTTCCAAATCTGGTTCATGAATTCGTATTTTCTTCGAAAAATATTTGTACGCATCGGCAAGACTTATGATGGTGACCGGCGCTCCCGTGTCAACTTCAAATGTGATATTACGATCATTTACTTCCAATGTACATAGAATTTTATCCCGTATGCTGGGGCTCTGTCCATTACTTTCCATCTTACACACTTCTTGCTCTGAGTCCTCCTTTCCACTGACTTCGCCGTCAGATATTTGTTTCATTGTAGATCTTGCTTTAAAACACACACGCCTTAAGTGGCCTCTCTTTCTGCAAAAATTGCATACAGAATTTATGTGACGGCAATCGTTTGAATTATGCTTACTGCTGCCACATCTGTCACAGTTTGTATTCAGTTTCGATCTCGCTCTTTGTTCTGTCTCTCTGACTCTTTTCTCCCTCTCTTTTGTCTTTCTCATATTCACCATGTCAACGGCTTCTTGCTGCTTATTCATTTCCTGGAACCCCTTTTCAGCTTGTTCAAACATGTTTGCCAAATGTATTGCATCATCTAATGTTAAATCGTCCTTTTCCAATAACCGGCCTTGAATCTTTCTGTTCCCTATGCCGTACACAAACTGGTTCCTCAGTGCTTTGTCCAGGTATTCACCAAATCCACAGCCCGTTGCTAGATGTCTCAAAGCCACTAAATATTCTGCGGCGGATTCTGTAGGTTCTTGCTTACGTGAGTGGAATTTAAAGTTCAAAAATATTTCATTGGGTTTAGGGTTATAATGCTTCTCCAGCAATTCACAAATATTATCATACTGCAATTCCTCTGGTATCAAGGGTAAAGCCTTGTCACATAGCTTATTATAAGCCTCTGTACCCATGAAATGTAATAGATATTTAGCCTTCATCGCCTCGCTCGTACCAAAAATCGCCAACGCCGTCTCAAATCTTTTCACCCAACGATTCCAGGTTGTAGCCTTTTCATCAAATGGCTCCATTTGAAAATTGCCACGCGGTTTTGGTTCACTCGTCGCCATAATTGTTATATATCCCGGTCTGCTAGTAAAACAACTGTTGCCTTCAGGTAACTCATAACAACTGAGTGATGGTGTTTATTACATATGCTTACATCGATAGTAGTTTAGTAGTTACTGAATACGTAACGTATACAACAAGTTCAAATCAAGGATCAATGTTTTTTCCTGGCTAAATAATTTTTTGGAGATTTAAGGTGAAAAATCCTACCAGTGTGTTAAACAGTACAAAATTCGTTAAAGTTAATAGAAATTTACCTAGTGCTGAAATTTTAGGTTTTATTGCTCTACGCTTGCATTGGATTGTGGTAAAAGACTGCTGGTCTTTTGTTTCTGGCTTCATTACTGTCAACATATATGTATACCTTGTCTAAATTTTGCATGCACGTGGTTTTTGAATGGGTAAGTGGTTCAAAATCTATAAAATTTAATGAGCAAAGTGAATTATTTTCGTGATTGAAGAGGTATTTATGGTATTAAAAATTGTTTAATGCAATTTTAAAGCAAGGTAAGAATTTATATTATATGGAAATATCCATTTAGCTATTTTATGTAAGTAATGGTTTCACTTTTTACATTTCGAAATAAAATAGTTTATGCATTTTTTTGTTTAAACTGTATATTTTGTATATATTCCTGGTAAATATATACATATGTGTAATTTTCCATATGTTGTAGGTTATGCATACATATGTGTATAGTTGGTAAACCTGATCGGATGGTATTTTGTTGTAGCCAGTGAGCAATGCAGTCAATTTAATGTAATGGTAATGGTATGGTAAAATAAAGAAATGGAGAATTACCTCAATTGGGGTTGCGGAAAAAGTAAAATTTGTTATTGTAAAAATAATTTTATCATTTTCATTTTGAATTTTGAAATGTACAATTGTAATGTTTTATTTTGCATGATTTTTTTCCATTTTGACTTACTATTTTCAAATGTACGCTTTTAGTGTTTTCTAATATAATGTATTGTGTGTTTTGGTGAGTATAAATCGATTTTATGTTTTTATTGGGTAAGTGGAACTATACGAATAAGATGATTTCAGAGAAAAAAGGGACTTTCTCATTGCAAAAATCCACAAATTTATTTTTCTTCTGTTTTTTTTTTTTTTTTTTTTTTTTTTTTTTTTTTGTCAATCTTTTCTACACATAGAAGCATGGTATAATTATGACAGGTAGAATCAAACCCCAGCTGATTTAACTCTATAGTAATACTAGTGGCAAATTTGATATGACGTTTTTCCGAAATTTTTTTATAGCTCACAATTTTTTCAACTTGACATGCTTTATTGAAGTTTACATTAGTTATCGTTTTTCTTTTTGCTTTTTGCTGTATGTAATGCAAGCCATACACAATATAACCGTCGGTACAACTTGCAGAGTAAACAAGTTGTATGTTTCGGCCACAAACGATACAACTTTGTGTACAACATCTATGTACAACTTCACTTTTTGAAGAGTTCATTTGAGTTAAGATGAAACCGGAAATAATTTAGTGATCTATAATTGACTTAATAGCATTTATTTTTTATTGTTTTAAATTCTATTTAATAATATTATTATATTAATGACTAGAATTGGCATCTAGCTTTCCAACCACAGGTCCTACATCGTTCTTCAACTGGAAGATGCGAACACATTCAAACAAATAAAAATGGCCAACACAGCTGCATTGGGTTCATATCAAAACGCCAACCTATAATCCGTGCAATGAGAACTAAAAATGCAAAATTCATTGGGACTGCAATCAGTGAAATACCGAAGATAAAGAGACACAACAATATGCGGTCTATACGAAATGGTAGAGTGAATTTAAAATTTAGTAAAAAAAGGATTCATATCCTCCGAAAAATCATCTGAAATGTTTCATATACATACTTAAATCACAGGTATCGTTTTATGCAATAGCGAGTAACAACATTGCGCAACAGCCAATCTGGGGGTTGGAAAGTTCTAAGTGGATAATATACGGTTAGTAGATCAACATCTCAAAAAGGGTTTTGGGTTACCAAGCTAATTTTTTTAGAGTCCATTATATATAGCCTTAACCATACACAAAGGTTCTAAAATATTTTGCTCTACACTTCGCAAAATTTACGATAGAGTTTTAAATTTGATACAATACAATGGGTTACATTTAGTTCTACAAAATGTGGGCCACTTATTTCGACAAATATTCGTAACTTGAGTATTTAGAAAGAAGAAAATATACTTTCAATTTTATAAAAATATAAAAAAGTATGCCTTGTGTGTAATTTCACTGAAAAGTTATAATATTTGTTGGCAATTTAACAATGTGTAATACAAAATATTTAATGAGTTCCAGTAATTTATAGATACAAGTACATAAAAAAATAATAATTTATAAAAACGACAATAAAATTATTAATTTACAAATCTTAATGACTAATGTATCAAACGCGATTTATTATTAAGGCTCAGTTTATCTAAGGCGACACTAAAACTAATTCTAAATGATAAACCAATTTCTTGCTTTTTATACCCTCCACCATAGTATGGAGCGTATATTAAGTTTGTCATTCCGTTTGTAGCACCTCGAAATATACATTTTCGACCCCACAAAGTATATATATTCCTGATCAGCATAAAATTCTATGTTTCGTTGCAGAAATATCCATTCATAATCTTGGATGGTTGCTTATTTGCACCTAAATTGTAAGTCAGAAAAAATGTTTAAATAAATATTACACCAATTTTACATATTTTTTTTTTCTTTACCAGTATGTTTTTTTTTTTTTTGAGCGGCACCAATCTCTGTAGCCCTGTAGAAAGAAATTAAAAATAAAAGAGACATATTTAATAAGGAATAAAGGAATAAATTGTTATTTGTTTACAAAAATTGCCAAAGCAGTATGTTTTAATACATTTAAGGTACACAATGATTAGGGGTTAGAGTTAAAAAAATAGTTTTTAATTTGTATTTAATAACTAACCCAAGTTTGTAATTCTTCCAATCTAAGTGGGTAGTTCTGAAGGAATTTTCATCAATGTTTTTATTAAAAATATTTAATAGTCATGTGACAAATTGACGTTTTTGAATCAGTTTTTATTTCTTTATAAATTCTGTAGCAGAACTCTGAAATTTATTTGCAAAGAAAATAAGGCTTCACAAAATATAAGACGGTAAACCCCAAAGAACTGGGAATGTTTCGAGTTTTTATTTCCTACAAATAGACGACATTTTTATATTTTCAAGAAATTGTTAAAAATTTGTATAATGAATCTCGTAATATATTTTTAGATTTTTGTACAAATGTGAAACATAAAAGTGGTGTATCGTTGGATCAAGTAATGAAACAATTCTGTAGCAGAACTCTGAAATTTAGTTGCAAAGAAAATAAGGCTTCATAAAATATAAGACGGTAAACCCCAAAGAACTGGGAATGTTTCGAGTTTTTATTTCCTACAAATAGACGACATTTTTATATTTGCAAGAAATTGTTAAAAATTTGTATAGTGAATCTCGTAATATATTTTTAGATTTTTGTACAAATGTGAAACATAAAAGTGGTGTATCGTTGGATCAAGTAATGAAACAAACCCATGAGCCTTCAAATTTCAATTTAAATGAAAAACATATAAATGGGTTAACGCACTGGGTTTGGGTTAAAATTGTCATATCAATTACATACTTCAAATAAATCCTCATTTAGTAGGTCAACCCATGATACAATAAGGAGGTAGGACAGCTTCGAAAACTACAGAAATGTAGCACTGACGCTATACCCGCTTCCAGTCAAATTTGCATGCAAACAAGTTATTTCCATTTATTCAATATTTTTCCTCATTTCTAAAATCATTTAAACGGCGCTAACAGTACGTTTATATATAAATGGGTTAACCGACTGGATTTGAATTAAAATTGTCATATCCATTACTTAAGGTACGGTCACACTGGGCAAATATTTGATCGAAATTTGTTTTCCCATATTTGACTGAACAAATGTGAAATTCATACAGAGTTGATTCGATGTTCACATTACAGTCAAATATTTGACGGATTTTGTTTGTTCAAGCAGTCACCAAACAGCGTCAAACAGTGCTATGGGAAAACATGTTTGACACATGTTCACATTCGTAAAATATATTTTCCCATTAAATTGTTTGATCAAACTGTGAGGAAACATAAGTTTATTTGGCCGGGAGAAATAGACAGAGAGAGTGAAAGAGAGACATAAAGAAAATGGAGTTTCGGGTTATAATTTATTTGGAGAAGGGAAGCAAAAGACCAACTGTTGTGAAATAAATTCCTTGTCAGAACAATTTTTTTTGCATTTTTGTTTGTATCATGGTAGAAGAATACAGGTAGTCACATCGACATAGCTGCTGGGACAATGAACTGTCAAAACAATTTTGGAATTGAAAAAAATGAATGAAATATTATTTAAATTTGTAAAAATTGTTGAAAAATATATATCATTGCAACCTCCGATTTTTCGCCGTATAGGAAAACATAGAAAAATCTACTTATTTTTGTCGAAACATTTCCAAATTTTTGACATATCATTGTTTCAAGCGTTGATGCATCTACCTATATCCTGTTCCAGAACCTGCAAGAATCTACTAGCTTCGCAATTTTCTTCGATATAATAAAGGGAAAATCGGTTATCGTAGTAAAAACACTTACATTCTCGCAGTTCTGGAACAGACCAAATATAAACATTTTTTACGAAACATTCAAATTCAGTTAATTCAAAAATATCAAATAAACAAAGCCACTTATTGTATTCGTTTGTTTTTCTATTCATTAAACATCATGCTACAAATGCTACTGTTCTTAAAGCAAAATGCTGCCCAATGTTTTAAACTGATATTTTCCCTTGTTTGACCTTACAAAACATTTGCACCGTCAAATAAATGTTTGACCAAAAAATAGGAAAATAATTGATCATATATGTTCACACTATGGACACATTGGTCAAATTTTTGTTTTCCAGCAAATAATTTTGTTTTCCCAAAATCAGCTGTTTTTGTATTTACCGTCAAATAATATTTGGTGGTCAGATTGTGACAAAGAAATATTTCACATTTTTCGTCAAATATTTGCCCAATGTGACCTTACCTTTACACTTCAAATAAATCCTCTCAAAGTAGGTTAACCCTACAAAAAGTTCTAACGTAAACATGGCATAAGAATAGTTTTTTTAAGAATATGATCTAAATATTTCGATCTGTGAATTATATGGCAAAACTGGCGAATAGCTTCAATGCGCGTCCCTTAATGTGCGCGTCTTCCAATCATTGAATTTGAAGATATTTTGAAATGAAGATATAGACAACGAAAAGTTAGTTTTGTCTTTTTATCCAGGTGGCTCTCATCATGTTTTGCATAGTCAACATGCTGATTTACGTGTTCAACCCACTCGACTTCGAAAACACATTTCATCGTTTTTCAATTTTACATTATTATTCCTGAATTTGTCGACGATATAGACGACATCTGCTGAACCGAATTTTTTCGAAGATAAACGGTGAGAGCATTTCGTTGTCTTTATTTTCATTTGTCTATGCCAGTGATCCTACGATATATATCTATATATATATATATATATATATATATATATATATATATATATATATATATATATATATATATATATATATATATATATATATATATCTATATCTAAGAGGAAAATGTTTGTATGTTTGTTTGTTTGTAATTTATGGACTCGAAAACCGCTGAATAGATTTTCCTGAAAATGTCCATATATACTGCAACATCGCCTGAAAGTAACATAGGCTATATACATTTTTGAATTTCCACTTGGAACTGGAGATATAGCATCAGAATCGGAGGTACCTCCCAAAAATTTAGATTTTATATGCACATATATATTGATTGGTTGAAGATACAGTCTCCAAATTTGGAATACGTAACGGAATTTGGAACAAAAATAAGTTTGCCAAATTATATTGTAATCGGTTCAGATTTGGATATAGCTCCCATATATATTTTCGACCGATTTCGTTCATTTGATGCCTCAAACACAATATGAATGTTCGATTCCAATGAAATTTGGAATGTGTGACGGGATTTAATCCGAAAATAAATTTGTCAAATTATATTGAAATCGGTTCAGATTTGGATATAGCTCCCATATATATTTTCGGCCGATTTCAAGCATTTGATGCATCAAACACTCTATGTATCCCCAATTTTAATGAAATTTGAAACGTGTGATAGATTTTATCTAAAAAATTGATTTCCCAAATTATATTGAAATCGGTTCAGATTTGGATATAGCTCCCATATACATTTTCGGCCGATTTCATGTATTTGGTGGACCAAACACGACATGTATTTCTAATTGTAATGAAATTTAAAATAAGTAACGGAATTGGGAGCCAAAATGAATTTGTCAAATTAAATTGAAATCGGTTCAGATTTGGATATAGCTCCCATATATATTTTCGACCGATTTCATGTATTTGATGCACCAAACTCGCTATGTATCTCTAATTTCAATGAAATTTGGAATGTGTAGCGGAAATTAAAACAAATATACATTTGTCAAATTATATTAAAATCGGTTCAGATTTGGATATAGCTCTCCTATATATTTTCGACCGATTTCATGTATTTTATGCACCATACACGATATGTATGTTCGATTCCAAAGAAATTTGGAATATGTAACGGGATTTTGATTAGAAAATAAATTAGTCAAATTATATAAAAATCGGTTCAGATTTGGATATAGCTCCCATATATTTTCCGCCGATTTCACATATTTGATGCACAAAACACGATACGTATTTCCGATTCCAACGAAATTCGGCATGAGTGGCTAAATTTGGTACAAAAATAAATTTGACAAATTATATTCAAATACGCTCCGATGTGATTATAGCTCCCAAATATATACTCAGCCGATTTCACATATTTGATGCACCCAAAGCGAGAGAGACAAAATCTGGTACCAGAAAAAATTGCCAAATTATATTGAAATCAGTTGAGGTTTGGATATAGCTAACATATATATTTCGGCCGATTTCATACATATTATGCACCAAACACGATATATATGACCGATTTCAATGATAATAATAAATGTGATAAATTAATTGGAAATTAGTTAAGATTTGGATATAGCTCCCATATATGTATTCTCGGCCGATTTCACATATTTGACGCACCAATTTCAATGAAATATGAAAGGTGTGGCGGAGTTTGGTGTAAAAGTAATTTTTTTAAAATTATATTTAAATCGGATCAGATTGGGATATGATTTTAATAAGAACCATTGACCCACAACGCCTTAGGCTAACACTAAAAAACAACACAACAATTTATTTGAAATACGCTTATTACGGCGAAGTATGTTGCTATCTCGAATTCACTAATTGCGATAGAAAAACCACTCTACTTAAAAAAAATTGCAATTTTCTTGCACGCTTGGTATTTGCTATGAAATAAATAAATCCAAAGGACAAACCCTTCGTGTATGCATGTCATGTTACTGCTTTTGTAATGATTTTGTTTAATAACGCTTTAAATTAGTGCAATATTTTTTTTAAATTTTTAAATTTGTTTTTCTTTATCCTACATATATTTATAAATAAAATTTTGAATGCATATAAAATCATAAGGGGTAGCGAAGCGCACCGGGTTCAGCTAGTATATATATATATTTTTTTTTTCGAATTTTAAAGTCAAGTCAAATATGCCCGTCTATGTAAGTGCTATGTAAGTGTAAGTGCACAAATAGCATGCATAGTGCCTATTAGGATCACTGGTACATAAAATTAACTACATCAGTCCACACCCTCTTCCTGTTTTTTTTCTTCATGTAATGCTATGTATGAAATAAAACTATACCAACCCACTTTAAATTTCAATTATTTATTAAGTTTTTTTAAATAACACTCTACACACTAAAGCTAATACAAAATAATAACTAAGTTGTTGGTATTTTTATAATCGTCGAACCTTGCATTCGATTATGTTGCTGGGACAACAGAATTGAAAGTAAGACATTTCGTAGAATTTAATTTTTTCGTTTTTTGAAAAATAATCATGGCAATCCATGACTTAAGGGAACAATTTCAAATTGAAAAAATGGGAATTTTTGCAAAATAATTGTGGTAAATATTATTTAGTACTTTAATAATTTACCTACGTTTTATTTGAAAAATCGTCTTAGTAGTCTATGATTTTAAGAAGTTTCAAAAGTAAAATTTTAGAAAATTTAAGTTATTCTGGTTTCAAAGCTGTGAAGTGTTGGTTACGAAAATTGTGTGAATTGTGTAAAATTTTAATTTAAAAATTGAGCTTTTGAAATTTAAATTATAATTTGTTTCTTAATAATAAACATTGTGATATAAAAAAATGTCAAAAAAGTGTATTTTTAATTGCGAATCATTCAAGCACCTTTTTGTTTTTCCACTTAATGACCATTTTACCGGATTCGACAATTAAAAAGGTTGATGTGAAATTTTACAAATAGACAGTTTAAAAATTAAAAAGCATATGAGAATATGTGATAACCATTTTTTGGCAGAATACATCGGCAAGATGAAACTACGGATGGGAGCACTTCCAGGTCAGTAGTAACAACAATTACAATGTGAAAAGTGTGAAAGTGTGTGTGTAAGATGGTACATCCCCCACATAGGGTCCAAGATTTTGAAAAACAAAACGCTCAAAGAAAGCGAAAAAATCATCTAATCATCTCTTCAAATTTCCCACATACAAACATTTTTGCTAACACAAGATCTGTTGTGAGGATGATATATATCTGCGAACCCCTTCTGGTACCTCACTCACAAAGGCTAACAATTTTGCAATACTTTTATCTCTCATAACCTGCGAAACAAGTCAGCGATTCTTGACAACTTGCTATATCTATATATTTCTCTTAACCAAGAACCTAATATGAATATGGAATTTACGATTTCGCATAAAATTGGATATTAATTTTCAATTGTAATTTTGCCCATACCAATACTTTCAGCCCTATTAGATGAAATATGAAAATGGAATACTTTGGTCAGATATATCTGTTACCAGACGCATATTTCCACATTTTCCAAAAAATTGCACATATCTTGATATAATCCAAATCTGGCACATTGTAATATTTTCATTAGTCTTTGGTCAGATACGAATATTGGCCAACTGCTTAGGAACCTCCCCCATAAAGGGTCAACAGTTTCAATAATCATAATTCAAGATTGGGAGTTTAAATCTGTCATTGGACTTCTGAGAAAAATATTAATTTTTAATCAGAATGAATTCTCATTAAAACTTAACAGCATTATCTAAAATTCGACGTACTTTTTGTACGTTTTACACCACACAAGTAAAACACGCCGGGTGCCCAAAAGTTCAAAATTTAACATTTTCAACATTGACAATTAAACAATTTATTTTTTGTGTGATGATAATACAAAAAATATAGCAATTGAGAGAAGTTTGAAGATTGATCAATTATTACAACGTTTTAATTGGTACATTTAAAAATATGGGCCTGCCGTATTTAGGTAATACGAACGTGCAAAACATTTTACAACAGAGGGGGAGTTAAATATTCGTCGAAGTTTAGGCAACGCTTTTAGGAAAAAATATTTGAAAGATTAATTTAGGTTTAAAATCAGCAGTGCCTTGAAAAAAATCTTTACTTACGTTTCTTTCTGTGAACTGATAGAGAATACTTTCCCATATTCAAATCACCAATAGTGTATTTAATGTAGTTGCAATTAAAGGGCGGTTTGGTTTGATCTAGAAGAAAAAATAGAAATTGGTTCGATTTCCAAATATAAATAAGTGCATTTACATTCTTCAAAACCAATTGAAAATAACAAAATATGCACAAATTTTTTTGATTAGAAACATAACGTTTGTCAGTAAGTTATTTTCCTATTTGAAATACTTTGTTTTCGAAGTTTTACGTTACGCAGCGCCAAGAAGGCAGGGCGTAAAACATTGCGATAGTAATACCCTACAAATATTATGAAACACTTCGAAATAATGGTTTCCGACACAGGAAACTTCATATGGACCTTCCTACCTCGCCAAGTTGAGACGATGTAACTATGTATGTCCGTCCGTCCGTCTGCCCATGTTAATTTGTAATCAAGCTACAGGTCGCAATTATGGCCCGATCCTCACGAAATTGAAAATGGCCTATTCTTTTTGGAGATGACGGAATTTCGCATGGAGTTAGTTAGAGTTTATGGCAGGGCAGAAGCCTAGCAATTTCGATGAACATCGGACAATATTTACTGGAAAAAATAAACATTAACTTTCATGTAAAAAAGCGAAAATTTCCTCTATATTTTTAATCCTGGAAAAATCTTTTAAATTCATTAAACAGTCACAAAAATGCATGCGATAAAAAATATGACAAAAAAATATGACAAACAAGTTAAAAAGCAGTAAGTTCGGCCGGGCCGAACTTTTAATACCCTCCACCATTTACAACGAATTTGGAAATTTTCAAAAAATAAAATCCTTAAAAAATTCTGTTAAAATTTTAAAAATACCGAATATAACCGTTATATTGGGGTCTATACGACGTGGACATACATATGCATTGTTTGTCATAAGCCATTACCATATTCAAATTCGAAACTGGACCCGCACCGACAATTTTCTGTCACAGACTGTAGTTCCCATAACGAACTTCAAAAACAATTCCGGTTAATAATGTCGCTAAAATCATCAAAATACCGAACATAGCGAGGTGCCGTTATATGGGGGCTATACGAAGACGTGGACCTGCACAGACAATTTTCAGTCTTAGGGTGTAGTATCCATTTGGAACTTCAAATACCAAATTTGAAACAATTGCAGTGAATAATGTCGCTAAAATCATCAAAATACCGAATATCGGGAGGTACCGTTATATGGGGGCTATACGAAGACATAGACTTGCACAGACAATTTTCTATCTTAGGGTGTAGTATCCATTTGGAACTTCAAATACCAAATTTGAAACAATTCCGGTGAATAACGTCGCTAAAATCATCAAAATACCGAATATCCGGAGGTACCGTTATATGGGAGCTATATGAAAACGTGGACCTACATGGCCCATTTACGAACTTAACCTGCCTACTGGAAAAATAAACATGTGTGCAAAATTTTAGCCATCTATCTCAATTTATTCGAAAGATAGCGTGATTACAACAGACAGACAGACGGACAGACGGACAGACGGACAGACAGACAGACAGACGGACATCGCTAAATCGACTTAGAATTTTACGCTGATCAAGAATATATATACTTTGTTGTGTCTGACATGAGTATTTCGAGGAGTTACAAACGGAATGACAAAGTTAATATACCCTCCATAGTATGGTGGAGGGTATAAAAATATGAAAAAAATGCAAGTGAAAATTTTTATACCCTCCACCAAAAAAGGTATGGAGGGTATATTAACTTTGTCATTCCGTTTGTAACTCATCGAAATAATCATTTTAGACCCAACAAAGTATATATATTCTTGATCAGCGTAAAATTCTAAGACGATTTAGCCCTGTCCGTCCGTCTGTTGTAATCACGCTGCAGTCTAAACGAATTAAGATAGGAAGCTAAAATTTTGCACAGATCTCTCTTTTTTCTGCAGGCAGGTCAAGTTCGAAGATAGGCTATATCGGTCCACGATATCGTATAGCCCCCATATAACGGTACCCTCCGATATTCGATATTTTGAAGATGTTAGCCACATTTTTCAATGGAAATGTCTGACAATTCACACAAGTAGTTCTCTGTGGGTACTTTATACCTCGGCATAGAATTATCTATAGAGGTCCACAATATCGTATAGCCCCCATATAACGGTACCCCCCGATATTCGGTATTTTGATGATTTTAGCCACATTTTTCAACGGAATTGTCTGAAAATCCACACAAGGAGTTCCTTGTGGGTACTTTATACCTTGGCAGAGAATTGTCCATATAGGAACACGATATCGTATAGCCCCCATGTAACGGTACCCCCCGATATTCGGTATTTTGATGATTATACCCACATTTTTCAACGGAATTATCTGAAAATCCACACAAGGAGTTCTTTGTGGGTACTTTATACCTCGGCAGAGAATTGTTTATATAGGTCCACAATATCGTATAGCCCCCATATAACGGTACCCCCCGATGTTCGGTATTTTGATGATTTTACCCACATTTTTCAACGGAATTGTCTGAAAATCCACACAAGGAGTTCTTTGTGGGTACTTTATACCTCGGCAGAGAATTATCTATGTAGGTTCACAATATCGTATAGCCCCCATATAACGGTACCCCCCGATGTTCGGTATTTTGATGATTTTACCCACATTTTTGAACGGAATTGTCTGAAAATCCACACAAGGAGTTCCTTGTGGTCATTTTACCTCCTCAAAATGAAGTGTCTATATAGGTCCACGATATCGTATATCCCCCATATAACTGTAACCTCCGATATTCGGTATTTTGATGATTTGACCCACATTTTTCATCGGAATTATCTGAAAATCCACACAAGGAGTTCCTTGTGGGTACTTTATACCTCGGCAGAGAATTGTCCATATAGGTCCACGATATCGTATAGCCCCCATGTAACGGTACCCCCCGATATTCGGTATTTTGATGATTTTACCCACATTTTTCAATGGAATTGTCTTAAAATCAACACAAGTAGTTCCTTGTGAGTACTTCACCCCCTGAGAGAGAATTGTCTATACAGGTCCACGATATCGTATATCCCCCATATAACGGTACCTCCCGATATTCGGTATTTTATGATTTGACCCACATTTTTCATCGGAATTGTCTGAAAATCCACACAAGGAGTTCCTTGTGGGTACTTTATACCTCGGCAGAGAATTATCTATATAGATCCACGATATTGTATAGCCCTCATATAACGGTACCCCCGATATTCGGTATTTTGATGTTTTTAGCCATATTTTTCAACGGAATGGTCACAAGGGGTTCTTTGTACACAAGGGGTTCTTTGTGAGCACTTTACCCACCGACAGAGAATTCTCTATATAGGTTAACGATAACGTATAGCTCCCATATAACGGTACCCCGCGATATTCGGTATTTTGATGATTTTAGCCACATTTTCCAATCGTATTGTCTGAAAATCCACACACGAAGTTCCTTGTGAGTACTTTACACGCAGACATAGATTTGTCTTTATAGGTCCACAATATCGTATATCCCCCCATATATCGACACCTTCCTATATTAGATATTTTAAAGATTTTAAAAGAATTTTTATTGGATTTTATTTTTTTGAAAATTTTCTAATTCGTTCCAAATGGTGGAGAGTATTCAAAGCTCGGCCCGGCCGAACTTACTGCTTTTTTACTTGTTTTTGTAATATATAAAACCAACTTACATGCTTATGGCATTTCGTTTAGATAAACGAAAACATATCAAGTGGAGAGAGAGAGAGAGAGATGTGAAAATGTTTATAAGTGTGGTTGTAAGATTTAGAAGTTTTTTTCAAAAGAATTTTAGTTTCATTTAATTCATGGGTTCCTCTTCTATTGTTTTTTTTTCTTAATAGCTCCTGGGATTAGTGGCTCTTTCTGAAACCTACTTTGAGAGGATTTATTTGAAGTAAAAGTAATGGATATGACAATTTAAATCCAAATCCAGTGAGTTAACCCTCATATATATAAACGTACTTTTACCCCTGGTAAACATTACCATCTTTCTTCAATAATAAACAAACGTTGTTTCTATAAAAAAAACAACGATAATGGTATTAAGCCTGACCATTTTGCAACAACAAAAGTGAATATTTTTTGTTACATGTTTTCAATTTTTGTCATGCGATTTGTTAAATTTGACTTACACTTTTGAATTGTAACTCTCTGAAGGTTTTCTATACTCCCACCAGTATGTCTTGAAGGTATTATTTACAGGTCGCAATTATCGTCCGATCCTCTAGAAAATGCACAATTGAAAACCAATCGACACGGAATTTTGAATGAGGAAAGTTAAGAACAGGAAAGAATTTGAGCAGTTTGGATGACCATCTAATTATATTTAGCTGTAAAATGGACCACCCCTTTTGTGAATTTATTTCGAATACATAACAACAGGGTGGAGTGCGTAAATAAGGGTAATATCTGGGTAGGGCGCTACGACATTATTTCAAAATCGAAATCATCCAAAAAAAATTTCGACATAAGGGGGCTTCCAACATATTGTAGTGTTGAAGGGTATCACATGGTCGGCACCGTAATGTAATAATAATAGACTTTGCTTACTTGTTTTGAAAAAGAAATATGACAGAAAAGTGTCTGTGCAGGTTCACATTTTGGTATAGCCCCCCATATAATATTACCTCCCTATATTGACGATTTTAGCTACATTATTCACCGATTTTTTTTTTCTAGTTTCGCATTTGAATGTTGTAGTGGCTTTTTTTAAATAAAGATTTTAACACAATTTTTATTTTTTTGAAAATTGCCAAATTCGTTCAAATGGTTTGGAGGGCATTCAAAGTTCGGCCCGGCCGAACTTATAGTTTTTTTACTTGTTAACACTGAGAATCATTTTGTACCTTTTTTTCCATTGGTGTTTATCAGAAGCTGCCGCGCCATTTGAGGGCTACAATCAAGACTATAACTAGCTGACAAATTTTTCTGCAAAAAAACAAAAATGTATATTTTAATGTAGTTTGAACGGAAACTTAGTACTTACAACATTTGTTGAATTGGACGGATTGTAGAGCCAATATAAAATCTTGATCGGATGAAGCACATATATAGGAGGAATTGATATACGTGAACCGATTGTCACCAAATTTGGCATGCTTGCTTCTAAGCTGAATTTGGTACCCATTCGTTAAATTGTGATTCCATATAGTTTTGTGTTTATGTTTCATGTTACATGAATACTTTTTGAAGATATGTATGTGTTAATTAAGCATTGTCAGCAAATATTGGTTGACCTCAAAAAAAAAAATTTTTTTAGGTAAAGCTCTTCACGACCCTTACCCTAAAGGGATGGTTTCTGGCATACATGTGTCTTTATTTCGCCTGGAAAGATATGAGACTACATTAATTTAATCGGCTAATTTACAGACAAATATATTTTCCGTGGCTTTATGTTTTTTGCAAAATAGTTGAACTCTGTAATAAAATTACTAAAATTTTAAATTTTCCCCTGTAATATGCATTTTATAAATTCAAATTGTATACTTCCATAGAACCACCAGCTCCAGCATTACTGGAACGTCTCCCCACCGAGTTAAGAATTACTAAGGAAGAGATTGACAGTAAAGATTGGCAAATCGTTTAACCTGAGATTCATTCACTAATAAATTCTCAAGCACTAAAGTACCTTTGCGGTGCTATGAACGAAGGAATGTAGGCATTCTATGTAAAACGATTGTAAAGGAGGAGGATCCTGAACCGTCTGAACTACCATGCACATGTAGTTGCCATTCAAATGTCCAGAAAGTTAAAAAAATTGGAAGAGGCAATCCAGGTCAACAGAAAATTGACCACATAAATTCAAAGACTTCGAAACTGTCTGGAAATTGATAGAACGGAGCATGTGACAAATATAAGCATTCGTGAACGGGAGGAAGATAATTGCGACAGAAGGTGGATGAACTGGCATTGGCGTTAAATAACCTACATTCAAATTCTATAATCTTAAAGGATGTGGCAGATAAAAAGGCTACTCATTTTTCAAAAATGATTTGTGGAACCACCTCATATTGTTCAAATATACAGGAAAATATGGCCCAATGTCTATACCTCACAAGCAGGAAAGGTTACAACTTTTTGAGAAATGTGTTTAACTTTAATCTACCATATCCTTCGAGTTTAATGATCTGGCAGACCATAAAACGTGTTGAAGTTGGCATTGACAACAATGTTATCAATTTGACGAAGTTGAAATAAGAAAAGAATTGGAGTATAACAAAGCGGATGACACCATTGATGGCTTTGAAGATTTGGGAGGTGGCCAAAGAACATCAAAAATTGCTTCAAAAACTGTGACATTTATGGCCAAAGGCTTTTGTAGCAATTGGAAATCTGTAACCAATTTTTATGCTATAAACAGCTTTGTTACGGGAGAAACAATTAAAACTCTGTTATATGAAAAAATACATGAACTGTATAGAATTGGGTTGGAAATAAGGGGAATCGTATGTGATCAAGGTAGCTCCAACCAGCGTCTACACAGCCTCCTATGTATCAATGAAAGTTCCCATTATTTTATGAAGAAGGAGAAAAAAATCGCCTTTCTTTGGGACTATCCTCACTTTTTTAAGTCAATGAGAAACAATATGTTTTCTAATACCTTTGAGGTTGATGGCATTGCTATATTGAAAAAGTACATTGAAGCGGTATTTGAATGTGATAAGAAAAATTTCAATGTAAAGTTATGTCCCAAGTTAACAGAGAGACATATATATTTGTCAATCTGGGACAAGATGAATGTCGCTAGAGCAACCCAAATTTTTAGTCGCACATTATCTATAGCCATAATAACATTAATATCAAATGGTCACAAAGCGCCTGAAACAGCAACCACCAGCAATTTCCTGCAAGTCCTAAATGATATGTTTGACCAACTGAATGTTAAAAGCAAGTCCTCTCCCAATCCCTATAATCAACCAATGCGTAGAGGCTGTTCGGAGAAAAATCAGTATTTCCACCAAGCAATAGCGTGCCTGAATAACTTAACCGTGAAGAGCAGAGGAGTAAGGTGTGTCGATGGGATAGTTCAGACAATGAAGGGTATGTCTCTAATTGCTGAACAAGTATTCGAGGACTGTGACGATGTTGACTACAAAAAATAAAACTCAGTCAGGATGCCTTGGAGAACGCTTTCTCTAGATTCCTGGCACAAGGGAACAACACTCACCCCTCTGTAAGGGAGTTAAGGTACTACATTGCTCGTTATACTTCTCAAAAGTTTTTAAACAGCGCACGCGGAAGCTCGGAGAAAAATTGCGAAACGGATGATGATAAATAATTGGTTTGGTCAATCAGCACTACCGAGAAACCCATTGCCATGCACCCTGAACAAAGGGATAAAATTGAAACGGAAATGCTATCAATGCTAAACACATTCCAAATAAAATAAAATGCCGAAATTGCCACGCCGCTATGACAAAGGCGACTACAGACGAATGTCGTAGCGAACTATTCATTAAGCTAAAGAATTATAATCCAAATATTAAACTTGATCTTGTAAACCCCAATCAAGAAACGTTCATCGTATACCAATTTATTATTTTTTGGTATAAAAATATATTTGAAACATTTCCCCACACACAACAACTCAGGACATTAACATTTAATGTCATAGTACGAAAAATAAAAGACGTATTTCCCTGGTTCCTTTCTGATGAAAAGTGTAAAGAACACAGAAAACAACACCTAATGTATCTCCTACGTCTTCTAATTATGAAAAATGGCAAATGGTTGGCGAAAAAATTGTCTTTCTAAGAGGCAAAGCAAAGGCAAAACAGGTCGAAGAAAAGGAAGCTTAACAGAGAAGCTAGGGAGGAAAACAAACGTGTCAAGTTCAAGACATGCTAAAACTTTATAACTAATATTTATAAATTTTTCAGTTCAAAATTCATGGCCCCCACCAGTGGGCAGTAGGAAAAGAAGGCCATCGCCTAAACCATCTCGTACCATGTACGAAAATGTTGGAAGTTTGAGAGGATTCCAGACAATAATGATGGGCACTTTGGCACCATTTGATATGGTAAGTTATCTGTATGGAATTTAACAAATCATTTTTAATTAATATCTCAAAATTGATTTAGTTTTTAGGTTGAAATTCATGGCCTCCACTGCATTGGAGGAAGTCTCCGACTCAATTACCCAACACTGAAGTCCATGTTTTGCGTGACTGCAGCAAAGATTTTCTTCGCTCTCTGAGAAAACCTCTAATAACAACATTTAGAAAGGTTTTTCATTACCGAAAACAAATAAGTAAAAAAGCAATAAGTTCGGCCGGGCCGAACTTTAAATACCCTCCAACATTTGAAACAAATTAGAAAATTAAAAAAAAAAAAAAAACATCCATTAAACGATATTGTGGACATATATAAACAAATCTATGTCTGGGGGTAAATTACTCAGAAGGGACTCCTTGTGTGGAATTTCAGACAATACCATTGGAAAATGTGGCTAAAATCATGAAAATACCGAATATCGAGGGGTACCGTTATATTGGGGCTATACCATATCGTGGACATATATAGATATTTATCTTCCAGGGGATAAAGTACTTACAAGGAATTCCTTGTGTGGAATTTTAGACAATACCATTGGAAAATGTGGCTTAAATCATCAAAATACCGAATATCGGGGGTACCGTTAACCTATAAAGAAAATTCTCTGTCAGGAGGTAAAGTACTCACAAAGAACTCCTTGTGTAGAATTTCAGGCAAATTCCGTTGAAAAATGTGGCTAAAATTATCAAAACACCGAATATCGGGGGGTACCGTTATATGGCGGATATACGATATCGTGAACTTATATAGACAATTCTCTTTCACAAAATCTGTTATATGTTATAAGTGATGTTAGTTACTGCGCTTTTAACTAAAAAACAACTGAAGTGATTGTGGCCATTCCTACCAATTCGGAATGGACTGTTGGAAGAAAAGGATAAAGCAGAAACAAATTTTTTTTACTTTAAATTTCTATTCTGAATTGTACATTACGTAATATGTTTTGTTTTGATTATCAAATTACTGCACAATAATAAGATCTATGTGAGGCTTCTATTTTCTTATGACAAAGTTTTAACCAACACAAATTCAACATTTTAAATGGCATTCTTGGAAAATTGCGATTGAGATCAAGATTGACTCAATAGGGTAAGTAACCATTAGACTGAGTTTTTTCGATCTTCCCCAATTCATAATTCGGAGTTGGATTTGTTTTAATTGTGACAAGGTTAGTTTATTCAGATTTCAAATGTTTAGTTTTAAACGAAGAAAGGCAAAATTGAGAAAAGTTTGAGTTCCATAAAATTAAACAAGTTGTCAGAGAAACAAAACAACTTGTTGCATTGTCAAGTTTTCTTTTCGAAACTTTAATGATTTATTTTTCAGCAAATAGTGAAAATTCTGTCCATACATTTGTTGTAATAAGCATTGTGATTACAACTGAATTTTAATATTTCCTAAAAATATAATTAATAATATAATTGTAAAGCATACACACACATACGCAACTAAACTTGACATATTAAACCAAGCAGTGCCCTACCATCAATTCATTGTACCTTGCTGTCTAAAATATTTTTGGTATGTTGATATATAAAAATTGTTTAAAAAATATTCAAATTCAAATATTCAATTTACAAACAAAATTGTATTGCATGCTATACATGGAAAATGTACACTTCTTGTTGCGAAATAAATCCTAAAAAATATATGTATAATTTTGAAGAGGACTATTGGCCTATCATTTTTTTCGCGTTTTTGTTTATTTATTTAAAATTCATGTAACAACGTGTTTAGTTGCATTTGTTTTGATAGTAATTCTGACAATGATCTTAATACAGGTGGGCCTCTTTACTTTATTTCGGATTGAATTCGGCTTAACGATTTATTATGGATTTTTTCTTTTTTTGTAAATCCATAATTTGTTTTTGTTGAAGAAATCGTCATCAAACGACATTGCATAAATTACTATATTATTATCTAAATAAATATTTTGACAAAATTGTAATGTTTCAAAAATTAAATTTTAACGTAATTGCAATTCTTTTAAAACTGACAACATTCACAGACAAAAAAACACATTTTGAATGCTATCAATAATCTTTTCTTATGGAAATTGAGAGATTACATTACATTCAGAGTGAATATGAACTTTTTTGCATTGAGTTATAAAAATAGCGTTCTACTGCGACATGAAAACTTAGGCGCACAAGGAAACCAATACACCGGTACAGGCAAAAAATTGAATTTAGTCTGTTGAGCTATAAATAAATATATGCATTTCGTTAACTTTTTATGATTTTGATAAAATAAAAAAGACTTGTTGCATATCATTTCAAATAATTCTGAAAGAACTAAAAATTTTTAAACAACAGTGGGTTCGAAGTCGAGTGTGTTGAATGCGTAAATCAGCATGTTGACTATGCAAAACATGATGAGAGCCACCTGGGTAAAAAGACAAAACTAACTTTTCGATGTCTATATCTTCATTTGTCTATGTATAGACAACGATCTATATTTTCATTTGTCTATTTGTTGACTATGCAAAACATGATGAGAGCCACCTGGATAAAAAGCGTTATATTCACTAAAGCTAAATTCCTGTCAACGTAATTATAGCGGACGGAGAAAGAATGTTTAGCTGTCGTCATGGCCATTAAGAAATTTAGACCATACGTTGAGATGATGCCATTAACGGTGATAACCAACCATGCCTCGTTGAAATGGCTTATGAATCTTAAAGACCTAAGTGGAAGATCGACCCGGTGGTCTTTACAGTTACAGTCATATGATTTAAAAATCGAACATCGTAAAGGGTCTGAAAATATTGTAGCAGATATGTTGTCACGGCACCTATAAGTGTTAAGAAGATACGCAGGGAATGAAGAATATTTGGATTTGATGAAAACGATTACCTCAAATCTAGAGAAACTGCCAACCCTCAAAGTGGAGGATGGCTACTTATTAAAAAATCGCTACCTCATACTGGATGAGTTTAGATGGAAACTCTGGTTGCTAAGTGGTATAACCCATCGGTCTAAAAAGGAGATGCTTACATATTCATTGCGGTATATCATTTTTCTAAATTCACTTTTTGAAGGCCATGAAGGAAGCCACATCTGCAAATGTAATTAAATTTCTAATGGAAGAGATATTTCATAAATTTCGAGTATCCGAGACCATGCTTAGTGATAATGGGGCACAATTTATCTCTTAGAGCTTCGATTCGACCATTCATCCAAAATTTTTTCCTGTATTGTTTTTATAGCATCTTCTATTGGCATATATATGTGTTCAAGAGTCCCATTTTGCCGCTTAATCTACAATTTCATTGTGGGTACTATTTGAACGATTCGGAATGAATTGAAGTAACACCTTAATTGAATATGAATTAGAAATATTGATAAATTCATTTATCAACCGATTTTTATGATGTTTTGACTTAATTGCTTGTATTCCGCTTAAACTATCTGTTAAGATGGTTATTTTAAGTAAATTATAGAAATAATCCAATTGTTCTGCTACACTCTTATCTTGTTTACTCGTGTTAAAATTATAATTCAATGCCAATAAGTTGACTACAAATTTTATACCTTAGGAATTTCAGGCTACTTTTCACTGTCGTTAATTTCTTTCGCGATGCCAATCATAAATTTCTCAATCTCAAATAATTTATGTATTTATCGCGGCACCATTAGCAGAATTAAAAACTTCATCCTCTGTTAATGCATTTCGATATTCATTCATACTTCTAGTTGCATTTTCCTGCTCTGTTTGTTTGTTCGTATTAACTTTAGCTCCGTTGGCGAACGAATTTCCTTCGTGCATCATTTTTATGTCACTGCAGTATTATTTTGGGTGCCGCTTACCTTCTTGTTCAAGTTTTTGCTACTATCCAAGAGTGCTATTTACGATATTCTCATTATTTCCATTATTATCTACACCACCATATAATTGCTTATACCTGATTCATGCTTCATGTTGCGGAATTTTGTTGATGGTCATTATGGCTTAAAATTTATAAGATCTTTCCCTGGCAGAACATTTTATAAAATATATGGCCTCTCCTCTCCTTGGACAAACAATATTGCCAGCATATCTCTTGTCTATCTCATAGCAGGTTTTGCATGCATCAATGCTGTGTTTGCAATGGAATGATGCAGTCCATTATATTTACATCAAATGCCGTAAGAAATAAAACGTTTTACATCACGTCGGGTATATTCAAATAATTTAATGGTCTCAGGGATTTCGGTGCCCTTAAAAGGGTATTTTAACTTTCGGTTTTGGGTCATTTCGTTATTAATGGCACGTTATTAACTTAATGGCACGCTCCAACTCATCGTTAGGTATATTCGTAGGTACAAGAAAATAATTCCACTTTGGATACCAAATATGCAAACAATTTGGCTATATAACCTTCTTTGAGTATTGCCTTATTATCCATAAAATTGTTTTTTTTCTTTGATGTACTGCTGTTACAGGTAATCTTAGTCTTCCAAACCTTGATGACATCCATTTTTCCTGTTATACTACTCATTTAATGGTCCTTGACAAAACAATAGATTTGATTGAGACATTACATTCTAACTCGATCTATCCACATACGAATTAAAAGGTCCACGGTGGTCTTGGTCGTATCTGAAATTAGAATTATTTTTTTAATTATAATTCTGAAAGGAATCCATCTCGAATGTCTTCTGAAAATAGTCTACTTCTAAAATTTGTTTAAGGTTCTAAACTATTTTCAATTTTAAACTCCATACCCATATCTTCAACTTCTTGGGAGCATTTGAAATGAAAGCTTTTGCAACCGACATGAAACTTTTTGCAAATCAAATGAAACTTTTAGATTTATACAAAGAAAAATTACAAAACAAATTAGTTTTTAGTAGGTTTAAAATTAAATCAACTAATTATAATTATTATAAAGTTAAAGAGGAATTTTTATTGATTTTTAATATATACATTTTTATAGTATTTCTTAAATTTTCAATTATTGTAATAACAAATGGTTCTTTATTGATTTAATTTAAATATTTCCATATTATTAAATTCCAAATGCTTAACGCTAAAAAATGAAATTGAAACAAATTTTGGCCTTTATAAGTATGGGCAGGACTGATATTCGAAATTATGCTTTACTACAATGTTTTATAGTCATAGTATACTATTAATCTTACCTAACAAAGAATTCCCGCTTCGCAGCTTTATTGATTATAGAGAGCAGTACACAATGTAATGCCTTATTTAAAAATCTCGGTATCATTTTCAATACAAAACATCCTAGACACAAAACAATGTTGTGCCAAATTTCAAATCTCAACATCAAATGTCGGCTCAATATTGTGATTTCAATAGACAGACAGGTGGTCTAGGACGAATTTTTAGAGGTGTTACAAACGGAATGACAAATTTAATATACCCTCCTTTCCATGGAGGAGGTTATAAAAGGTATTTAATTCGGGTCATTTGGAGAAAATACCTTAAAAAACATTTTTTAATCCTTCTGCATCTACACTTGCGATTTATGGAAACTGAAAAATTAAGAAATAATATTTTAAAAATACAGATATAAATAATCAATAAAAATTCCTCTTTAACTATATCTTAGTTATAATTAGTTGATTTAATAATAAAACTACTAACAATTTTTTTTTTTTTTGTTATTTTTCCTATAATTCTAAAACTTTTATTTGATTTGCAAAAAGTTTCATTTCGGTTGCAAAAGGTTTCATTTAGTATTTTTAACGCTGCTAGGCATTGACAAAGATAAAGCTGTTTAGAAAGAATTTCTTGGATATTCTATTCTCCTTCGAACGAAAACCCACTATCAGCCATTACAAAATTCAGCCCTTCGCTAGTATGCTAGCGTATATAACTGTTAAAGAAATCTTGGTTTGATTCCAGGTAAACATCGCCATCATTATTTACTCCATAATAGGGACCAAATGATTCTGCAGATTCAGCAAAAATGTTGTCCAATTTAAAGTCATTTGGCCCTTTTAAGGGAAAACTAAAACCTTTAGCTCCCCAATATTTTTTATATAGAATGTATTCGGAAAATCCTCCACAGCTGATTATGTGAATAGAAAATAAATTGGATTAGTAAATTAGATTTCAACGTTATTTACCTTCAGCCTTCGAAAATAAACAGTATGGTACTGTACCGTAGTGTTCTGTACAGTTCCGAGGTGGAGTGGTACACTAAGATAATGTACCTTACCGGAGCACAATCCTGAAAAATATTTTAGTGATACTGTTCCGGAACACAACGAGAATCGGAGCACTAAAAAACGTAGTGTACCGCAGTCGGAGCACTACAAAATAGTAGTGCACCACATGGCGGAACATTAAAAAATAATGTACCGGTAGTGTACCACATATGCGTTGTTTACGATTTGTGACAAAAATTAGATGTTTGATGTTTTTGATAAAGCAAAAGAAAAACTAATAAAATTCAATATTATGGAAATATAAGCTGAATTTATTTTACACCACCGCTAAAATTTTTTTTTGGTGATACTGTTCCAGTACAGTCATGGTACAATAAGGAGGTAGAACAGCTTTGTAAAACACAGAAATACTGCCCTTAGGCTATGTCCGCTTCCTGTCAAATTTGCATACCACAAGTTGTTTTCATTTATTCAATATTTATCTTCATTTTAAAATCTGTTGAACAGCGGGAAAAATGAATGAAATGCCTATATTTGCTAGAAAAATGTGATCTAAACAGTTCCATCTTTCAATTTCATGATAAAATTGCGCGTCTCACAATTTACGCGTCTTCCAATCATAGATTTTGAAAATAATTTGTTTTAATTTTTGTGTGCTGTTTATTTTCGAACAATGTTTACCTATAAGTCATGATCTTGTATAAGTGTAAGGTCTGTGTTGGTAAACAAAGTCAAACATCGAATCAATATGAAAGTTAGATATTTATTGGTGGAGAAAATCTGAATTTCATTATTTTTATTGTTAATATATATAAACTACAGGAGATATCAACATGGCACCATTTTGGAAAGGCAAGAATTTAGGCTAAAATGTAGTACGTCGATTTTTTATACAATAACGGGTCCAATTTGGATTTTTAGGTTTTTCAAAAAATTCCGTTACAAAATACTTGTATTACTCCGGAACCGGTTCAAACAACACCATCATATGATCACTTGTTGGATAGGTATTTCCTTTCAAATGAAACCCACTTTTTTAGAACCGGATAAAATCCCGATTTTTTGTCTGAACTTTCGGGTGGAATAACCGGGTACTTCCCCACGAAAAATTATTACGGCCTGACTCATATATGTAATGTCGCATTTCCATAAAAAAGTTTTCTAGTTCTCTCAGATTAAACAATTTTTTGCTGCGAACTATGAGCACATTGCCTCCTTTATACGGTTTATTCACACTTTTAGCAAACTTTTCACACATTTTAGAACGTTCACTTAAAGGTAACCTAGGTATATATTTTCCTCCCAAAAGAATGCCGTCAATAATATGAAGGCAACAAATTCTTGTTTGTGTTCGACCTTCCCCGCAGTATTCAAACACCAATTCTCCATAAAAAAGTGATTTGGGAGATATCTCAAACATATGGTCAACTGGTTCCCATTTCCGCATATCAGTATACCGCAATAATTTGCCCCTGGTCGTACAAATAAAGAAACTACTAGCATTTGCGTTTGTTCCTCTTCTTCCTACTGGTACAAAAAACCAGATATACACACTGTCAATTTTTTTGCATAAATCATCTATGGACAAAATTTCGTCGGACGATGAGTGAAAAGAGGCTTCGCAAAGAAACTCCTCAACAAACTTATTTTATTTTGTGAAGCTTGTCTTAATTTATCCGGCAAATTCCACAAATCAAGACATTTCCTTTGGCACTCAGATTGTCTCATTTCTGTAAGCTGTGTATCGTATCATTGTTCTGATTTAGAATGTTATTGATATGATTTAAATAATGGCTAATAGTATGTGTATCATTTTTTTTCCACTGACAGACAAGGTATCTCTCGGAATTCGCCGGGCGACTGATGTTTGGTTTAATAATTGAAATTCATTCAAAGCATTTGTACTTTAAATATATCAGGCCTACACTAAATTGTGTAAATATGTCAAACAATTTACACACAAAACTTCCTTTGTTGTGAAGTATTTTTAGCGCTGTTAGGCATTGACAAAGATAAAGCTGTTTAGAAAGTATTTTTTGAATATTCTCTTCTCCTTCGACCGAAAACCCACTATCAACCATTACAAAATGCACCCCTTCGCTAGTATGCTTGCGTATATAACTATTGAAAGAATCTTGGTTTGCTTAAAGTAAACATCGCCATCATTATTTACTCCATAATAGAGATCGTATGATTTGGGAGATCCAGCAAAAATTTTGTCCAATTTAAAGTCATTTGGCCCTTTTGCGTAAAACCTAAACCTTTAGCTTCCCATGATTTTCTATATAGAATATATTCGGAAAATCCTCCAGGGCCTATTATGTGAATAGAAAATAAATTATATCGTCTTGTTTTGTTTGTCATCTTATAAGAGTTGCCAAAAAATTCCAGCTACAGATCTAATCTTGAAAAATATGGTTGTAACTTGTGTATTAAAAAAGAAATAATTATAATTAAAATAAATAAAATGTCGTGCCCTTTTGAATTGTGTAATATTGTTGCAGGGGATGAATTGTGTGTTACCTGTTGGTTTTGTCTTAATCAATGGCATGCAAAATGTGCTAGGATTAATGATTAATGCAAAAGTCGTAGACACAATAAGAAATAATGTTGGTGTTCGTTGGTGTTGTGTGCAATGTAGGAAACTCTCTGCAGACTTTTATAATTTTGTAAAGGATTTGCAGTCGGAATTGACATCGATGAAAAAAGATTTTTCCTCACTATCACTCCGATTTGAGAATTTCTCTACATTGTTTGAGAAATACCAAGAATTAGATGAGTTTGTGTCGTCACCGTCAGTTTGTGGCCAGAAACGCAAAAGGGTTGCGAAAAAGGCACCAACTAAGGGAATGCCTAGTCGCAAAGCAACAGTTTCTGAGGAGAACACTGTTCCACAACCGGTTTCAGTTAATATCACTGATACAACTGAGACTGGACGTGAACAGTCGTATGCCAGTGTTGTTACACACCCAGTTCCGGTAGATAACAGCGGTATAGGTAAAGGGGTAAATAATCCTGATGTTATGAGTATTGATAGTGAGGTTTCTGAATATATCAAAATGCTGAAAACCTCACAATCTACTCGTGACATACATGAATTATCACTTCCTTCACTTATCACTAGTGATCGTCCCGAGACTGCTACTGGCAAAACTCAACCTGTCCAAAGATCATTATCTATGGCTCCCGCCATGAAAATGATATTTGCAACAAGGTTTGCACCAGAAACAACGGCCGATGACATAATCTATTATATAAAATCAAAAACTAAATGACTCATTTTTTATTTGCTATCAGAATATAAGGGGGCTTAATACAAAATTAACCAGTTTATATACTGGTTAGCATAGCATTGGTTTCAATTATAATGTATAGGGTTTCTCCGAAACTTGGTTAAAAATATCTATATTAAATAGTGAAATTTTATGTTCAAAATATCAAATATTTAGAAAAGATCGTGTTTGTAAAAAAGGTGGTGGCGTACT